AAAAAAAAAAAAAAAAAACCACCAAAAAAATAAAAAATAAAAAAAAAAACCTACGTACCTTACAAAAATAAAAACCAAGTCTAGTATATTAAACAATCTACAGCATTTTACTCCAAAGCCCTGGGTTCTGTGGTCCCCCCACCTCCCCCTTCCCTGTGCCGCTTCCTCCATCGCTGTGGTCAATGCTTTGGTTGGGAAAAAGTGAGAGGAAGGAAAACCTCTGCACGCAGGCACAGGGACTGGTGCATCCATCCATCCACAGAAAGCTTTAATTGTGGCGTGTTTTCAGCTCTGCTCATTGCATCTGAGCAACGCCATCGAGCTGCGGGTGCCCACAGGAGTTGGAGTGGATGACCCTGAAGGTTTCCTCCCAACTCAACTGATTCTATGGTCCTGTGATGGAGGTGTGGATGTTCGTGGCATGGGGGCTGCACTGGATGATCCTTAGGGGTCCCTTCCAACTCAACCAATTCTCTGGTTCTATGATGGGGATGTGGATGTCCGTGGCATGGGAGTTGCACTGGATGACCTTTGAGGGTCTCTTCCAACTCAACAATTCTCTGGTTCTATGACTGAGATCCGGATGGCCCCTGCACAGGAGTTGGAGTTGGGTGACCCTTCGGGTTCCCTTCCAATTCAACCAACTCTACGGTTCTATGACCAAGATGTGGATGCTCACTGCATGGGAGCTGCACTGGATGACCCTTCAGGTTCCCTTCCAACTCAACCAACTCTACGGTTCTATGACCAAGATGTGGATGCTCACTGCATGGGGTTGCACTGGATGACCCTTCGGGTTCCCTTCCAACTCAACCAACTCTATGGTTCTATGCTCCTATGGTTCTATGCTCCTATGGTTCTACTGTCTGGAAACGGCTGCAAGGGGAGGCGGGTGAACAATAAATAGGTTATCCTGAGTTCAACGAGCGACTGCTTCAGAAAAACAAAGGACCAAAAAAGCCCAGTCCTATCAGAAACCCTAAGAAAGAGGTATGTTGGTTGTGGCCGGGTCTTCCCGGTCAGTGCCTGGACCCGTACATCTTATCCCACTCAGCAAACAAGTCCAGCTCCTTCTGCGAGGCGGCGGGGCGGACCTTGCAAAAGGCCTTCTCAAAGTCCTTGTAGGAGGTGGGTTGGATCTGACCCGGCAGGCCATGCAGCGTGGTGGCCCCAGCGTGCTGGCAGAGCTGGATCAGCTCGCTGCCCGAGAAGCTCTCGGTGTGCTGTACCAGGGATGCCATCTCCCGCTCGCTCAGGCAGGAGCTCTGCTGAGCCAGGGCGTGATGGAGGATCTGCCTCCGGGCGATGCTGTCCGGTGGGGAGATGTAGAAACGTTTGGCAAAGCGCCGGTGGGAAGCTTCGTCCATGCTGCCGGGCCGTGAGGTGGTCCCTATGATGACCACGTTCTGCTCGGTCGAGGTAGCTACATTGTCCAGGTAGGAGAGGAGCTGCGACTTGAGGTTTCCAGCCTGGCCGCCATCCTGGGCCACCAGCAAGGATTCCACCTCCATGATGAGCACCACCGAGGGCTGCCGGCACTTGGCCACAAAAAAGACGGTCTGGAGGATCTTCTCGGCTTCGGCTTTCCAGGTGGTGAGCAGGGCAGCGGCGCTGAGCTTCAGCAGCGTGGAGCCCAGCTGGGTGGAGATGCAGCGGCTCAGGAGGGTCTTCCCAGTGCCGTGGGGCCCAAACAGGAGGATGGTTCTGGGCAGCCTGCTGGCCCCAGTATACGCACCGGGTCGCAGGATGGGCCACACCAGCTCCTCCTCGATGGCTGCCTTGATGGAGACCTGCCCGGCGATGTCCGTCCATTGCACGGGCGGCCCGCGCTCCACGATCTTGGTGTTGACCAACTCCAACACCAGTGGGTCAACGTTTTTGGGTTGCTCCTCCACTGTTTGGCTGCTGAAGATGGGCGCTTTGGGTGGCAGCCTCAACGGGAAGGGGTGTCCCGGCTCGGCCGCCCGCTCCCCGTTGGCAAGGGGAGGGCTGAACTTCTCAAAGGACTCTGTGGGTCGCAGTGGGGCATCCCCAGCTCCGTAGGGCGGTGAGACCACGCTCTTCATCGCCTGCCCACCATATTTACTGCTGTGCTCCTCAGCGCCGCCCGCCGGCCGCTTGCTGGCACTGGGGAAGCCGTTCCCTCGGCACTCGCCGTTGTCCGACATGGGGTAGGGGGACTTTGGCTGCTCGTAGCTGTATTTCCGATATCTGCCCTCTGCTTCATCCTCCCCACCGGAGATATCGAAAGCTTTCCTCTTCAAGGCGCCCGTCGCCTCGGTGCCCAAGGGCGGCACAGCCAACGAAGCCAACCCGGCGGCTTGGTAGCCATAAGCCGGCACCACAGATGGGCGAGTGGTGGGCCCGGGGGCCGGCAGCGGGGTGGGGGCTGCGATGCCTGAGGGCAGGTAGGAGGCGGAGGGATGGGGCGGGTGGATGGCTCCGTAGCCCGGCTGTGTGGCGTAGCTGCCTGAGGCGTAGTTGTAGACGGGGCCGGAGGAACCGTAGCCCGGCACCAGGGCGGATGAGGGGTGCGTGGGCTGCAGGAGCCCCGAGCTGTGCAGGGTGGGCGGGTGCGGAGGAGGAAGTGCTGTGCTGGGTTGGCCGCAGTAGCCAGAGGGCAAGTAGGTGCTGCCGTAGCCCGCAGGGTACTCCTGAGATGAGCCCAGCCCGCCGGAGCCGGCCGCTGCTCCGCATGAATTCCCAGCATAGATGGGATCGGCGAGGTTGGCCGACACCACCGGGGAGCCGGCGAGCCCCAGCGGAGCGCTTCCAGCCGGCACGGCGGGCGGCACCACGGCCTTGGCACCGGAGAGGCCATCGTGGATGGGGGTCAGTGGGTAGGCGCCGTCGGAGCTGTGAGGCACAGGCCAGGGCTCACCGTCCCCTTTCTGCCCGTTAACGGGCCCGAAGGCACCATCCCCATAGCCGCTCAGCGCCGGGCGCTCGTAGGGTGCATCCAGCACCCCCGAGTACTTCTCGGCGTACCTCTTGAGGAGGTTGGAGGCGGTGAGTGCTGAGATGTCGTCGTTGGCCCAGGCGTAGTTGAAGCGCTGGCGGGTGCTGGGGTAGAGGTCGGACTTGTGGGCTGGTGAGGAGGTGGTGGAGGAGACGTCGAGGTGCTGCTCTGGCCACTGGTTCAGGGACTGGGCATGCTCTGGTGACCAGTGCATCTTCGACAGACCTACGGGACACAGGGATCGTGGTATCATTAAAGGTGTCAAAGACCCCCAGGATTATCAAAATCTAAGCCATCAAGCCATGTCCACTAGACCATATCCCCAAGAGCCACATCTACAGCAGCGTGAGACCAGCAAAACTGGGACAAGTGCCCTCCTGCACTGCTCAAAACCCACCAAACCATCCTGTTCCCCGGACCGTGGTGCACCTCCTAATCCCAATCGCACAGAATTGTGGAATTGCAGAATCATAGAAAGGCTTGCATTGGAAAGGACCTTCAAGACCATCTACTTCCAACCTCTGTGTCCTAAATTACACATCTTACAGTCAAAAATCCCCCCGACCACCCTTTTGCATCATCAGTGCAAACACCTTGCACCACTGATGCAGACTCTCCCAACAAGTACTTCAGAGCAATCAACCAGCTCAAGCTTTAATGGTCACAACATCAAACGTCATCAAACCAACCCATCACCCAACAGAAAACAACACCCATAATCACCAAACCAACCAATCACCTGACAGAAAACGACCCACATCACCAAACCAAACCATCACCCAACAGAAAACAACACCAACATCACCAAACCAACCCATCACCCAACAGAAAACGACCCACATCACCAAACCAACAAATCACCTGACAGAAAACGACCCACATCATCAAACCAACCCATCACCCAACAGAAAACAACATCAACGTCACCAAACCAACCCACCACCCAACATCAAACAACATCCATGCTATCCATACCAGACCCTCCCCAACCCCACCAGCAGCTCCAGTTCCTGCATCCTGCTCCCTTTGTTCCACCTGGACCAGAAGCCAGGTGTTGGCTGGCCACTGCAGACCCAGCATTAACAGCATATTAATAGATATATAATAATTACAATGAATGGAATATAAATAATGGCTTGCCCCAGTGATTGAGCACCTGGTGGGAAGGCAGGGCTAACCCAGGCCCTGCAATGCACTTGTGTGATGGAATGGCTGAAGCCAGGATCCACCCCTTCCCAGACCTCATTTAAGGGTTGGCAGGGGAGGGGAGGGCATCTCTTTGGAGATCCCTGTGTCCCTGAGGCTTTCTAAAGGTAAGCAGCTGCTTTCCTTTGTTTCTGTGTCCCTGGCTGTTGCATTTGAGCAAGTCCTCACCTGCTGCAGCATAAAGCTTTGCTGCTCTGCTGTCATTGCTGCACTTTGCATCGCACTGCAATAGCATACTAAGAGTTTTTTGGCATATTATCACTGAATTGTAGAATATCCTGGGTTGGAAGGAGCGCTGAGTCCAACTCCTGGCTGCATGCAGGGCACCCGTATTAATTGCTCTGCCAATGCATTAATAGCATTCAGCAAATTCTCAGCAAGAAGCTGGGAGAGCACAGGCAGCTCTGCAGCGATGCAATGGGGAACGGAGCAGTCCCACACAACCCCACACATCCCACATGTTCCTGCTCAGGGAACAAAGCCTGGGTGGGAGCTGTGCATCTCCCCAGTCCCCAGGGCAGTTGGGGACATGGGTTTGCACTGCACACACATGGAAGCACTGTCCCACATGGGCCTGCATCCCTCTGCTCACCCCCTCATAGTGCTGCACGTCCCTGCTGGGGAAGAAAAGGCAGAAGAGCCAGGGCAGCCCCCAGCCCCATTGTTATCTGCCGTGCTGAGCCCCCCAGCAGCCCCCCCAGCCCCACACAAAGCTGCAGTGGGAGCAGGAGGGCCCTCACGTCCCATTCAGCCTTTAAGCCACTTTGTGACCGCGGCACAATTAGATTACTTAATGCTTTAATTGACTTATATGGCATTTGTACTTCCACTTTGGATATCAAACTTCCACAAGAGGATTTAAATGGCGGCTTTGCGTGGCTTTATCTGCCATCCCCCCCCTGCATTTACTCACCATTATTAAAGTGCTACCGAGAGATAAACGCTCGGCCAGAGCTGGTGTGCAGGAAAGGGCCTTTCCATTGAGCACAAAGAGAGAGCTTCCCAGCAAAGCTCTGCTCCTGCTGCAGTTTTTGCCCTGAGCTGTGCATGAGCAGAATGGAGTGGTAAGGGCCAGAAGGGAGCAGAGGCACCGAGGAGCTATGGAAGGGAAAAGTGAGGTTTTGCTGAGGAGTGAGGCATTATGTAGAGGTGTGTTTTGGGAGAGTGGGGGGTGAAGCACCATGAGTTTCCATCCTTGCTAGGTGCTGTGGCTCTGAACAGAGATATGCTTTTTAGATCAGGACCCAAATGGTTGCTGAGCTGCAAAAAACAAACAAACAAACAAACAAACAAAAACAAAAAAGCAGGTTTGGGCCTCAAAATGCTTCCAATGGGTGCTCAGAACCCCCTCAGTGCTGGAAGTGCCAAGCAGAGAAAAGCAATTTGCTTTTCCCCCTGTAGCGGGGATGGATGCCAGCACCCAAAACCTAAAAATCCGTGCTTAAAGGAAGCGCAGCGATTGCTTTGCAGCGTCCTGAGGAGGGTGGGCAGCCCCGGGGTCGGCTGGGATGCGGTCCTACAGCTCCATCCCAGAGCAGCAAAGCAGAACCCGCGGCACGAAACGCAGCCGTGCATCAGCGCAGCGAGCAGAGCGCGGAAGGGCTGCAAAACCCGGCTGCGAAACCCGAAGCGCTTCAGCGCACGGCGCAGTTGGGAAAGGGAAAGCAAAGCCATGCGAACGCCCTGCAAACCGGGGGAGGGGGAGGGTTGGTGGGACGGGGAGAAGTTGTCAGGGGGCCGCGATGTGACGTGAATGAGCGCTCGGAGCGGGGACAGATGTTTCAATGCTCCCCTTGGCAGTGTGAGAAAATTACTGTCCAGTGACCAAATGGCACGGCCGGTTCCCACCCTCGCTGCTGCCCCATTATCCACAGCGCAAGACAAAGGCGGGCAGGGGGGGCTGGGCAGGGGAGAATCCTATTGTTCCCTCCCGCCCTAATTATGGAAATCTTGTTAATCTATTCAGCAGCGGCTCTGAAGTGGGCTTTTGTTCGGGGCCCTTCTTGCTGCGTGCAACCGGGGCGCAGCGCCGAGGGTGTCCCGATGGCGCAGGGTTGGGGTGCGCTCCCCCCACCGCCCCTCCTGGGGGGACCTCGTGCAGCTGGGGGTGTCAAACGCGTGTGTACACAGCAGTGGGTGCTCTCAGCTCCCCCCCAAAGGAATGGGGCTCCCACGGATGTGGAGGGCAAAGAAGGTTTCCACGCAGAGCGTCGAGCCGATGATGCGCTGAAGCTGGGGTTGAAATCCAAGCAGGCACCTGTGCTGGAGCAGCCCTGCAAATGCTGGGTGTGCCTCAGTTTCCCCTTTGCTTTGCTATCAGCCGGAGGAGGGAGGGAGCACATGCAGCAGAAGCAAAACGATGAGCCGCTCGTTTTGCTCGTACTGCTGTCATCTTGCTGAGGGCTCCTTTTCAGGGGGAGGATTTCTGCTTCTTCAAGGCTCTGCTTAGCTCCATCATCCCCCCATTGGCCCCAGAGCAAGCATGCTCGGCTGCTGGGGGTCCCAGCTCTCAGCCCAGCCCCTGACATTTCCCATAGTCCCCACAAACACTGCTCACACCGATCTCTTTCCATCACACAGATGGGTTTTCCCAGCAGGATTTTGCACTCAGAACCCCCAGCTTGGTCCAGGCGAGGCCCTGTTGCATGCCCAGGCAGCATGGGTGCAGCTATTGCATGAACAGCTTTGCTGCTGCAATAGGATTTGCCTCGGGTCTTGAACCGTGCCTCAGTGCTTTGTAGCCCTGGGGTTTTGCAGCCATGGTTCAGTGCTTTGCCATTGCAGGAGATGCGGTGCTTCACCGGAGGCCGAGCAGCACGAGGCTCTCCAGTGCATGGGAGGGCGGAGGGCTGGTGGTATTTCTTGTAAATGAGGCATTTCCTGATGATCTTTTTGGCTTCTGCTGTGCAGAGCTCATCCTGGCCCGGCTCACCCCTGGCTCACAGCAGCACCATTGGTGTTACAGCGAGTCAAATCCTGGCAATAAAAGAGAATTATGGCCAATGCGAGCGCGCTTGGAGCTGGGGGCTGTGGCGAAGCGCTGAAGTGTTTTCACAGTGCTGCCATAGATCACAGTGATGTTTTGGCTGGGTCACCTCCAGCGCATCCCCAGGAACCAGAGGGGACCCCCTGGACCCGGGGCCACAGAGTGACACGAAGAACCAAGGGCTCTGCAGCACTCCATTCTCTGATGGGTCTTCCAGATGTTCCCTCTTTGGGGCTGCTTTCTTTGCTGACACAGCACTCCAGAGGCTGCATCTCCCCTCTGCTTGCAGAGATGGATAGATGGATATCAGCTTTGGCAATGCCCCTACAGCTCCCACCTTCTGTGCTTTCTGCACAGCTATTTTGCTTCTAATCAGAGTGGGGAGAGGAGCACCCAAAGCCCCATGGCGCAACTCAGCCATGAGCTCCATCTGTCCACGGTGGTGACGTGGGGACACTTCCCTCTCTCCTACTCCTCCAAGCCGTGCAGCTCACAGTCCTCCAGCACAGCACAGATTTGGAATTTTAGGAAGCTGGCCAACAAGACAGCAGGTTGGGTTGCACAGTGAACCCAACACGTTCCCAGCTGCCCCCCAACAAAGAGAAGGACAGGACAGCCACCCCAGCACAGCCAACACAGGTGTGGTAAAAGGAGGCTGGCAGCTCCCACGTGCCCCATCCCCACCCCACAAGGATCAGCCACCACGTGGGAGCTTGGGGCTCAGCCATTCGTACTGCCCAACCATATATCACACCCGGAGCAGCTGGACATCAGGATGCAATGCAGAGGGCAATGGGCCACAGCCCATCTGTGCAGCTCCAGGATCCGTCCGGAGAATGAAAAATTAATATGTGTCTGTTCAGCCTGGTAGCAGCTGAGCATCATCCTCCATCTGGAGAGGCAGTGCTGGGGGTTGGAGGAATCCCCAGGACCAGAGGATGTGGGTGGGAAGATGGGGGTCTCTGTGATAATGGGTGCCATTAGTGGGTTTGAGGCGTTTTGCTCCACCTTTCAATACCTTAAGACGGATGGGAGGAAGAGGGGTGACAAAGATTTGAAAGGAAGTGGGAATTATTGGTTTATTTCATCACAGCATCACACGGTTCTGGTCCATGGATGCTCACTGCTGGGATCTGCCTGCAGGGGATGAACTGCAGCGTGAATCCATCCCCGTGCTGCCCACTCTGCCACAGGGGCACTCCAGCACGTGCAGAACCCCAACTCTTTCTGTCATTTCCTCTGCCATCACTCCTTACCCTGCGGATGCTCTCCTGCCCCAAAAGCCCTCAATTTTGTCAGAAGTTTGCTGGGTTGACATTTCAGCTGTGACCTCCCAGCAGAGCCCATCCTGAAGGGCAGCTCC